GCTCATACATGCACAAAGAAAGAATATCCGAAGGTTTCAGCTTTTTATCTTATCTAGATCACAAAACCGTTTCTGGCCAAAGGAGTCTGTGTTTTTTCAGAGGTCCGTACGTGAATCTAGGCCCGTACGCGCGATGATTTTAAAATGGGAGGGTGACATACAGGATGGGAATATGCCCTCGAAACTTCAGCTTCCCAGCATTCCTGGCTGCTAAGTTGAAAATGGGTGATAATGTTCATTAGCTTCCGAACACACACACACAACGTGGACGACTTGGATAATATATGCTTTTGCTCACTGTAGCAGCGCTATAGCGCTGCACAGAAAAAAATCACAAAAAACATGCGTGTATACAAGGGTACATATTAAACAGTTAAAAAAACAGAAGAAAATATATTAAATCATTGGCCAGGCGCACCAGGCTGGCCCGTGCAACTAAGCGTTTTTGCAGTATATGTTGCTATTGTAAGATCGCTTGGAGTCATAGTAGCTAGAATTTGTGATCTACCGATCTTCGAAATTCAGAACCTTAATCGTACAACTAACATGCGCACTTGGAAAGGGAACATTCTGTTACAATTTCAGCTTTCCCAAGTTAGCAATTTTTCCGCCAAAAAATCTCGCGAAGCCACACCTAAGAACCACGCATGTCGGGGGGAGGGGATGAATCTTTGAGTTCTAAGCGGACGGGGGATATCCTCCCAAAATTTCAGCCTCCCAGTTTTCTTGATTCCCTACTAGCGATTTTCCCGCTAAAAAACTTTCACTTTCCCGCTAAAAACTTTCACCATACATACTTGGGGGCTAAATTTGAAATCTTTTAGCTCTACACTAGCGGGGAACATCTCGAAATTTCAGCCACCCAGTTTTTCTGGTTTCCGAGCTATCGATCCCCCTTCCCCCCTTCTTCCCGCAAAAGCTTTCATGGGTCCGTACTTGAGTAATGCGTGTAGCGGGGGAAACTTTTAAGTCGTACACTGATCAAGAACTGAAAATTCCAGTCTATTAGCTTTCCTGGTCCTCGAGTTACTGAATATTTCCGCCTAAGGCTATCACAGGGTCGTACGTAAGAACTGGGCAAAACTGGGGGCAGAATTTGAGTAATTTACGTGTGGATGGGCTGGAAACATCCCCTCAAGATTTCAGCCTTCCAGCTTTCCTGATTCCCGAGTTAGCCATTTTTCCCGCCAGAAACTTTCACCAGGCCGTACGTGGGAACCATGCGTTTCTGGGAGCTGAATTTGAAATCTTTGAGCTCTACGCGGACGAGAGACATTCTCTGAAAATTTCAGTCCCCACCCCCCTCCCCCAGCTTTTCTGGTCCCCGAGTTAATTATTTTCCTGCCAAAAATTTCATGTAACTGTACGCGGGGGCC